TAATCTGATTATAGATAGAGATGATAGATGATAGCTAGATAGAAGAAATAGTTAAAAGATAGAGATGATAGATTAGATAGATAGATAATCTATCTGATTATAGATAGAGATGATAGATGATAGTCAGCTAGATAGAAGATAGATAGATAGACAGACAGATGTAGTCAGATGGATGGATGGATGAAAGCTTAGGCCCTCTCCCTCTCTGTCAGCTGAAGGGAGGGAAAGTCCAGCTCCTGTGAGGCTGCTGGGTGGGGCTCCTCTTGGCAGGGAACCCGCAATCACGCCCAGCCTCTCTAGCGAGTTGTTCCCCATAGCGCTTCTCCCCTCCTGTCACGTCTTCCTTGACCCTTGTGTAAACTGGAGGGCTGCCAGCTGCCAATTCTCTTACCACAGCTTGTATTCCACGAAACCAGGCGGAGGGCAGCACACGTCTCCCTGGCTGGAGGAGCAACTCCCAGCCCGTCTTCCCCCCCACCCCCTTGGCTTTGCCCAGCCCAGCTCCAAGGCCGAACCTTCCTGCTTTCCATGAAAAGCTCCCCCCCCCTCTTCATTCTGAAGGCATTTGTGCCACTGAAGCGTCCAGCAGGGAGGAATTTCACCTCCCTTTTTATTTTGAAAACAAGACAACTGGGCTGATATATATTTTGGGGGGCACGGGAGGAATGAAAAACAGAAAAGTATTGCTTGCGATTCTAGAAGCTTCCTCGGTTCGCTTGTATTTGATGCAGGAGATGGAAGGTATTGTATTGTAAGTGTAAAAATTAAGTTAGGACTAACTTTCAGGGTAGGTCATATTTTTGGGGAAACACGATAGCAGAGTGTGCTGTTTTGCGCGTGTGGTATTTACACAGTGCCTGTTGTGTGCGTCTTATTAGATATTGATTGGGTTGTGTCTGGAGGTGCGTTCCTACCGGTTTGGCCCAGTTCAGCCAAGTAGGTAGTCACTCGGCCACCCACGCCCCGTTCGGTTGTCGGCGGCGTCATCTTTATTTTTGGATCTGCATGTGCAGAACAATCTCCATTGCAGAAATGTAATTCCCCCCCCCCNAGCTGACTGCTATCTGCAGTTTGGCTGTTCTAATCTCACCGCCTCAGGGTTGACTCAGCCTTCTATCCTTCCGAGGTGGGTAAAATGAGGACCCAGATTGTTGTTGGGGGCGATATGCTGACTCTGTAAACCGCTTAGAGAGGGCTGAAAGCCCTATGAAGCAGTATATAAGCCTAACTGCTATTGCTCTGTATCCTCTGAACCATAAATGAAGATTGGAGATGGGATTAATTTTCCCAAAATTACTTCAAAGAAGTTGGGAGTTTCCCATTCGAGTGCCTAATGAAGATACTTTATCGTATGTTAATTAGTCTCTAGATGTGGGGAAAGCAAGCTTTATTTTGACAGTTGGTTCATTACGGCTCTTTCACAGGCCTGGCTCTCCTAACCACCTGGGAGGGGAGACGGGCAGCATAAACTTTTTTTAGGTTCAAGCAGAGAACCTGGAGATGGAGCGCCCCCCCCCACACACACTTGAGGGATGGAGCCCCCCCCCACAAAGGTGGGGGCTGTTCATGCTGTGGCTCACCTGGTCTTTCGTCTTGGAAGAAGGGATACTGCTGGAGGAGGCAATGGAGGCTGGGCTGCTAGGGGCATCCTTCTTCAGTCCACGGGATTTATCCAGCCCATTCTCTGGAGGTGAGTGGGCGGGGCTCACCCGGGGGGTGGCCGGATCCTGGCAACAAAAGCAAGGGCTCAGCACAAGCAGCCCTCCAAGGCCCCTTCCCCTAACTGGAGAGGTTGCAAGTGCGACTCCAGACCCGCTGAGTTCTTTTGCACTGACAAGGCACGAGAAATTGTAAGGGAAGAAACTAGGGAAGCCTGCTCCTCCTCAGCAGTCTCCGTGGGGTGGATAGCCTGCCCTCATTCCCTGGCATTCCCTCTGCAGATGCTGCCACCGCTCTTCTGGGGAATGGGGTGCAGTGCCAGGGGCAAGAAAGGGCCCCTGCCAGGCCTACCTCATTGGAGACATCGACCACCAGGTCATCACTCTTGTCACCATCACTATCCTAAAACAGGAAACCATTGAGGGCTTGTCAAAGGAAGCCAGGCCCAGGTCCAGAAGCAGCTCCCAGGCAGCTCCCCTAACTGCTCTGGCTGCACCTTCCACGCACCCCTCCATCCCCCTGCCGCAGCCATTCATCTTCCAAACGGGACATGGGAAGAATGCTTGGCTAGTATTCGGAGCCCTCCTTGACAAGAGCGATTGGTGGCTGCCGCCAACTAGATAATAGTGACCCAAAAAGACAACTGGAGCAGAAGACTCACATAGCGGCTCAAGCCCTCCTTCTCCTCCGCCTTCCGCTTTTTGGGCTCAATGCCGGCATAGTCTGAGCAGCCCCTATGCTTCTCACCGGCACGCAGGCTCTCCAATGGGGAAATGGAGGTGTTCTGGGGAAGCAGGAGAAAATGCCAGTGATAAATCAGATCCCAGATCCAGAAATGTTTTCCCATCAGGAATACGGAAATCAGTGTCGGGAGAGGGAGGGAGGGAGGGAGGGAGATAGAGAGAAGCTTTTAGAAAATTGCAGAAGCCTCTTGATTCTATTCTGGGAAGTGATTGGGGCATGGTTCCATGCTATGACAGAAGACTGGCACAGGACAGACCAGGGTCCAATCCACCCTCAGCCCTAGAAACTTGCTAGGGGATGATGGGCAGGCCAGCCATTCGGTCTCAGTCCAAGCCACCTCACAACGGATCATGCTCTCCACACCACCTTGGGCACTTGAATGAAAGGCAGTTGATCAACTGAACATAGAAACAACAACCCAATGGCCACAATGTGCTTCCACTCAATCCAGCCAAAATTGTAGGAAATGGAGGGAAAAGGACCCAAGGAAAAAGGGGAGCCAATGGGGCGTGTTCTTAATTATGGATCCTGCTGCTGTTTATGTCCAAAACGTCAGCAGCCAGGAAAACAGAATCAAAAAGGAGCAGAGAAGGGCACACACACTCCCCAGGAATCAACCGCTTCAATGGCCAGAAAATTTGATTTTACCTAGATGAAAGGAGGGGACAGGACGGGACAGGCAGCCAGATTCAGAAGACAGACAACTAACAAAGCAACCCAAGGTCAAAAAATAGAGGTGGCTAAACAAAGACTTACCGCACTGGAGTCACGGTCTTTCCAGAATGCAGCCAAAGGCACAGCAGTGGAGAGAAAAGACAAGAGGGGGCAGGAGAGAAACAAGCACAAAAGAGAACATCAGTCTTGCAAAGGGGGCCTTTCTGGCTTGGCTCAATAAAAGTTCCATTTGGGCTTTTGTTCTGGAGAAGCAACCAGGGCCCAGACAAAATAGTGGAGAGGAAGACCAAGAGCTTTGCACACACCTGGAAGAAGTGGGAGAAGCCAGTGCAACGTTCACGTTGCTGTTGGGTAGAGTCCCATTAGTCTGGGAAGAACTCTGGGGAGAGGGCACTGGCTGACCCTTAGCCCCTCCCTCCCAGGGTACTCAAGAGCCTCCAGAGACTCGAAAGCAAGAGGCTGGCAGGCCAAAGTCTGAAGGAGGAAGCCAGCTTGCATGTCCTCACCTCGAGGGTCCAAATCGTGCAGATGCTTCTCGTCTTTCACAGCCAAGTGTGCTTGGCTGCCGAAGGCCCCGAGGGCCAAGAGCCCCGAACTGCTCCCTGTGATAGTGGGCATTCCTGGGGGTGGCAGGCCTGATGGGTGAGGTGGCAGCTGTACCTGGGGCCCGTGAGGGGTGTGGGAGAGGTGCTGGGCCTGGAGCTGCTGCTGCTGGGAAAAAGCCAAGAGTGAGAAACAGCAGGAAGTCCAAACACTGCAGAGACCCCTTCGCTTCACCAGAGGGACGGGGGGGGGGAAGGTTCACCCCTCCCAGAACACCCGCCTGCAAGGCCACTGAAGGAAGAGCTACGGCGGAATTCAAATGAATTGAGAGCACATTAGGAGGGACCACTGTTAAGTTCACGATTTAGGACTTCCTGGAGCTTCCCCAAAAGGTCTTAGAAAACAGGCAAATCACCAGTTTCGGTGTGTTCATTCAATTTCAGGGTAGGGATTGTTTCAGCATTAGTGAAACATTTCTTACTTCAAGAGAAAATCTAGATTTCTGCCTAAGACAGCATTAAAAAAGGTCTCGGAAAAAGACCATTGAGAAGAGCTGGACATTACAGCATGAGCAAAAGGCTAGAGCGAAACCTTCAGCCAGGTCATCTGTTTGTCAAACAGCTGAAAGCTGAACGGTATCCTATATCCCAAAGGTGCTTCCTGTTTTTTCTTGGAAGACGTTTTGGAAATCCTATTGTGTGGTAGTGTTGAACATATTATTGCTAAAGTCTACAAAATGTTATTGAAACTTAAATCTGGAAAATGAGCAAGTAAAGCTTTGAATATGGACAGTGGGTAAGGAACTTTGGATGTAATGCTTGCAAAATGGGAGATTATGTGGAATAAAGATTAAAATGTTACATATAACTTACTATTACTTAAATGACCATTGGCTTATCTGAAGGGTCTTTCGCCCTCTCTTGGCTTGTTGAAGGCAGGCAGGGGCCTAAAACACTAGTCTGACTTGGTTCATTTACCTGTGGTTATATTACGGTTAACATATTCTCTTTTTGCACTCCTGCTGCCAAAAGAACTGGGAGTGGGGACACCAGAACTTATTTCTCACTATTCCTGTTTGTTCAGTATCAGACACAAGACAAAATGACACAATGGCATACAGGGCCTTTGGGAGGCAGGGCACTTCCATTCCCACCTCCAAAACCCAGCCAGATCAGGTTGCCCCCAAAAGCAAAGCAGGAGGATTTGCAGAATAGGAATAGGTAGGCTCCTGGGTCCAGATCAAGTTAACCTGTTCCGCAAAGCAAGGAGGGTTCTCTTGAAGCAGCTGGTTCCAAAGGGCCCGATTCCCCAACTTCTATCAAAGCCAGCCTCCCTGCAGGGCATTCAAGCGTTCTGGTCTTCTAAAGGAATGGAGGACAGGACTGCTCTGGCATCCAACTAGAAGCCCTTCCGCTCATCTCTTCCCAATTCCTCCAGTTCTCCCTGGCAGGACTCTGCAACCCTCTTGCTCATCAAACATCATGCCCAGCCCTGGTCAGCTGCCACCACGTTGTGTTTCTTCTTATATCACTGTCAAAGGATTGATCTGCACAGCTGGACAACTGCTGAGCTCCAATCCTCCCCCCACCCCCCCCCAAAAAAATATCTCTAGCTCTACCTTGGCCTTGGAGCCAGTTCCTACTGGAGGGAAAACTAGCAATCAACAGACATATTGTTCACTCCAAAGATACACTGTATTCGGCAAAGAGGCAGGAAGAATGTGTAAGGAAGTCTGGCAGTGGAACATCTTGGTATGTTGAACAGTTTTAATTGGATTATGCACATCCTGCTTCATGGCTTTGTTAGCTGATTTAATGGTTCATCACTTTCATTAAATTTGCTCAAGCCCTCTAATCATTTCCAGAGCTACAAAGTGAATCAGGCTCCCCTTCAAAGGCCTGAAGCAAAGGGGGCAGGGGAGGGGAGGGAGGGAGGGAAGCCCAGTTAGGGTCATGAAGAAAGGCTGGCCTGGAGCGGCCCCTCCCTCCCACTTTGTTTTGCTTCCTTCTGGCTTTGGGCTCCTTGCATGCCAGGAGGTTAGTACTAACTAGGGATGTGGGTTCAACAGGATGCCCAGTCCAAGAGACCCCCCCACTAACTGGGAAGGAAATGTTCTGGGAGGGGCTGTAACTCCATCTGCATTTTAAGCTACCGCAATAGGATTTCTATCCTATTCCTATTTGGAAAGTTTTCAAAGGCGGGGAAAACGTAAGCATTTGTGGCATTTTAAAGACAAACTAGTAACTCAACTACTCTCTAATGTGCCAGATAGAGCTGTGGAGTTTTTACTCCCATCTGCCTTCCCTCTGCTTCCTGCAAGACCAGAAGGAGGACGATGCTTTCCCAAACTATCAGGAGGCAGAAATGGCAATCCTACTCTGAAAGGCAGAGGAGGAATGCTATCCTGAGAATTTCAGCTTGAGATCATCTCCCCCCGCAAAAAAATCCCACCAAGCTGATCATTCTTAGGGTTGTAAAAATGGGCTTGCAAAAGATTGGAAAAAACACTTGGCACAATTCCCAAAAAACCATCTATGAGGAAGCCTCTCATGTTGGACCAAAACAGGAAAAGCCTGCAGCCTGCATAAGGCAGAGACTCAGGCTTTGGAGCAGGGACGGATTCAGTCCTAGGGAGGCAGAAAAGGAAAAAGGGCCTTTTGCCCTCTGTGGGATAGGCTCCCAAAAGGTCCTACAAAGGTGGGGCCTCGCTTTCAGCCCCCCATCTGAGAGAAGTTCACTTTCACCAGGGTGGGAAAAGAGAGACAGACCAAGCCCAATAAAAGCAGAAGGGCTGAGGGTTTCGGGACAATTTTTAATCTCCTATAGAGAAAGAGAACAATCACCTCAGGGGGATGAACGGGAAGTCATAGGAACCTTACTGGAATAATGGATGGAAACTGGTCAAGGAGAGATTCAAACCAGAAATAAGGATAAATTTCCTGACACAGAGAAGAATCAGCCAGTAGAACAGAAGTTGCCTTCAGAAGTGATGGGAACTTCATCCCTGGAGGCTTTCAAGAAGTGACTGGACTGCCCTCTGTCAGAAATGGTGTAGGGTCTCCTGCTTGGGCAGGGGGTTGGACTAGATGACCTACAAAGGTCCCTTCCAACTTTGTTAATCTGTATATCTGAGGTCTCTGAGCAAATCTTGTGAACTTAACATTAGGCTGAATGTATGTATGAATGCAATGCTTGAACATGGCTCTGGGGGAATTCCCATTAACCCCATGACTGCTGGATAAAGACAGCTTTTCAAGATGCGCTGTTGGACAGCCAGGGAACGAAGGCCACAAGCAGCAACTCCCTTCATCAGTGCAACAGCAGAGAACCCGTAACCCAAAGCTGATGCTTCCTGCTGTGGCACAATCCATGCCCACATTTTGACTGGCATGTCACCATCACTTGCTAAAGATGCATTTGTCCCCTTCTTTCCCCCTGTGCCCTTTCTAGGAGTCCTATAAAGTAGGAGGCCCACAATCCAGCAGGCCAAGGCAGCCAGCCAGCCAGCCAGCCA